TTTAAAACCTAAATTATCAATCTCCTTAGCCTTTTCTCTAACCCACTTAGTTTCTTGAATACATAAGATATTAATTTTCCTATGAATCATAATATCAACTAATTCCATTAATTTACCATTGAGAGTACCTATATTCCAAGATTCTATCCTAATATTAGTTTCATGGACTAACTTCTTTACCAGCATTCGCCCGTAATGTGGGAACCCTTGCTTATTTAACACTACACCCGGGCGCCGGTGTAGTGGCCCTTGCACACTTTTCACTGTATTCAGGTTATACAGCATGTCGCTCCCAGGGGACGCCCTAGCACTTACACAATGATCAAAAAGATTCATGTCATGATTTTTTTTCAACAAGTTTTACGCTGGCTGTCGACTACCTAACGCAATCCTCCACTTTTCGCATCCGGGCTTGGGACCGGCAACGACAGTGTTAGAGTGAAATAACACATTAAAAAAAACACTATTACCAATTTGTAAAAGTGAAATACATGTTTTCATGCATAGAAAAAACACTATCACCAATTTGTAAAAGTGAAATAATGTTTTCATGCATAGATCTAAAGCACAAAAATATTATGTATGTGTTATGAAAAGTAAAAAATCTGAACCTTGTATATTAGGAAGCTTGTATTTTAGGAAATTTGATACTAGACGACCTAATTAGAGGATATCTAATTACATAACATTTTTTATATTAGAGTAATTCCTGATCTAAAGAGTTCGGAGTATATATAAATATGTAATATATTTTTTCAATTGTGAATAAGAAAAGAAGCTTTCTTGTTACTCATACACATAGCACTCAAAGAATTAATTCAAAAATAACACAAGCACCATTTTTTAAAAGTGAAATAGACAATTTCATGTATAGATTTAAAGCATCAAAACGTTACGTATGTAAATATGAAACTTTAGATGTGAGATATGTAAATACATGAGAATTGTGTGCTTTGTATGTAAATGCCCCTAATAATAAACACTTGACTGCACACACAGGGCATGTTCACCAACAAGTCATAGACATCAAATTGCCTTATGATGAAAAGAAAGCCAAAATAAAATACCTTTTGCATCACTGGCCTTGCCAGAGGCAACAGAGGGGTCACGAAGAACTCCGCAAATTTCACAAAGCAAAAAATCTTGATCATTATCATATGAGCAAATGGAGCATGACCAAAGATCGGGTTTATTCAATTTTGCATCTTGCTGAGAAGTCTTTCCTGAAGTAGCAACGACAAATTAAGTATTAGCTTGTTTTTCGGGCAGTTCCACCAGAATGAAATTTTGCAGTCAGAATACATAACATAAATAAACCCTTTTTTTTCTAATGTTTTATTTGTTCCTTTTTACTATTTGCAGACAGTATTCATGTATTTCCTTTTTCTAGATGGAATTTTCATTTTTAGCGCATTAAATGGATCACTTAAAGTAATCTTGTAGCTATTATTTGATAGCAAACATACAAAGATCACAATCCAGAGAACATGAAGCCTAAGTTTAGAGATTACAAACAATACTAAAACAAAGAAAGTTTGCATAATAGTAAACTTCATTCCCCTATTAACAGTTCGTGTTAATTATATGACAATTAGAACTAATAAGAATCTGATTTGCATTGCAATAGATTTAGAAACTTCATAGCATAAGAAAAAAAATTTAAAAAAAATAAGAAAACCAATTTTGTTGTGTCAACAACAACCAAATAGCATCCACCAATGATTATAAACTGACAAAATAAAAGTAATCAGTCCCTAGCTAGAGAAGTTTATCTATTTTTAAGAAATAGAAATGCAATACAGAAAATGAAGGCTTACGAATTCCCATCATAGCAAATCCATTCTACCAATGAATGAAACTGATTGTTTTCTCAATCAAGGCAATTAAGGATCATCATCAGTATTGGCCTTATCCCAACTATTTGTGATCGGTCTAATGAATCTTCATCTACCTTTCATTTCTATCGAGAGCTATCTAAGGAGTTAAATCTATTCATCACAAATCAATTTGAACAGCTTCTATCCATGTAATATGAGACCTACCACTTTTCTTTCCAATGTTATGACACTGATTTTACCAACATTTATAACGAATAAACTTTCTACCTTTCATTATGTGGGGGTAATAATGGCACCCCAAGAGAGGGTGAAATGGGTATTTTAAAATTGATTAAGTATAGTATAATCTTAATGCTAATTTGTAATAATATAAACTAACATACAAATTTAAAAAGTTACATTAATAAGACTATTTAATTGTCCTCATTTTACAAACATCAACCATTAATAAGACTATTTAATTGTCCTCATTTTACAACCATCAACCAGATACCAGAGTTAACCCAAACCACAACGGGAAAAGCAAATATTATTACTAAATTGCGAACGATACATGAAAACACATTAAAATCCGAAAATAAATAACCACAACACACAAACAGTCGAAAGACAATAATGACGTTGTGAAATAAGAAAGAAAACAATGCAACACACAAAGACGACTCTCTCTAAGGAGAGCTATAGGTCCAACAGAGGAGGAATGTGGCTGAGGCTAGGGGTGTAAACAAACAGAGCTTGTGTTCGTGTTCGGTTCGTTTGAAATTTAGTTTGTTTGAAATAAGCTCATGTTTGAAATTGTTCGTGAAGTCATTGTTCGTGAAGTCATTGTTCGTGTTCGTTTCTTAACGAACGAGCCGAACACGAGCTGCTCGCGAACAAC